AACATGAGTGAAACTCCATCTCAAAAAAAAAAAAAAAAAAGGAACGTGTTGCCTATTCACCAGCAATTAAAGGCAGATGAAGCTCAGGCAGGCAATCTGTCTCTGTCTCTTGTCTTTCTCTCTCTCCCTCTCGCCCTCTTTCTCTGTCTTTCTTTTTCCTTCCCCCCTTCTCTCTTTCTGTTTCCCTGCTCTCCCTGCCCTCTTGGTCTCTGGGTTCTGGACTCTCAGAGCAGCCTGGAATCATCTCCGTCCTCCACGATTGCTATGGTGCTTTTCCATGTTTATTTTTTAGTGACAGGATCATGTGCTGTTGCCCAGGCTGGAGTGCAATGGCACAATCATGGCTCACTGCAGCCTCTAACCTCTGGGCTCAAGCGATCGTCCCACCTCAGTCTCCCAAGTAGCTGGGACTACAGGTATAAGCCACCACCACGTAAGGCTAACTTTAAAAAAAAATTGTAGCAACAGGATCTTGCTATGTTGCCCAGGCTGCTCTTGAACTCCTGACCTCAAGCAGTCTTCCCTTTGGCCTCCCTGAATGCTGGGATCACAGGTGTGATCTACCGCACCTGGCTTGGTTTGGTGTTTAATTAACGCTCACCCTCTCTATAGGATTTCGAGCTCCAGGCAGAGGTGGGCAGGGCTCTGTTTGTAGCGGGGCACTGGACACAGCGTGATATGGTTCGGCTGTGTCCCCACCCAGATCTCACATTGAGCTATAGCTCTCATAATTCCCCTGTGTCGTGGGAGGGACCTGTTGGGAGGTAACTGAATCATGGGAGGCGTTCCCCATACTGTTCCCGTGGTAATGAATAAGTCAGTCTCACGAGATCTGACGGTTTTGTCAGGGGAAACCCCTTTCGCCTGGTTCCCATTCTCTCTCCTGCCTGCTGCCATGTAAGACGTGCCTTTCCCCTTCCACCACGCTTGTGAAGCCTCCGAGCCACGTGGAACTGTGAGTCCATTAAATTTTTTCTTTATAAATTACCACAAATTACCCAGTCTCGGGTATGTCTTTACTGGCAGAGTGAGAACAGACTAGTACCCAGGGCAAGAGCTTAATACCTGCAAAGGTCACAGGGTGATTCAGCAGCGGTTTGGGTCTCTGTGTCGTACCTGGGACTTATTTCAGGGTATATGGGCCTCCCCGGGGTGACTGACACGGCACTGACCCCAGGCCTGGAGAGGAGCATGGGGCAGGATCAGGGTCCCTCCTCCCAGAGCCCTGAGGCCGCTCCAACTTAACTCACCTTCTTGCAGAGCTGGGGGCGAGGCCCAGCTTAGGTACAGTGTGGTTAGGTGGAGGGCCGAGATGGCCTCTGAGGGCGGGGCCTCCCTCACCCTCTGGAGGTAAGATACAGATCTTGACTCTGGAGGTAGGGCTCAGACACCAGGCCAAATTGAGGACTAGCTAAAACAGGGACAGAGAGGAAGCGTCTTTCCATTAGACACGCCCACCAGTGTGCCACGTTTGCCATCACCATGGCGACACTCAGGCGCCACGGCCCCTTTCCACGGCAAAGGCCCAATGATCCAGAAATGACCACCCTTTTTCTAGAAATTTCTGCATAAACCACCACTTAATCTGCATGCAATTAAAAGTAGGTATAGGACCGGGCGCGGTAGCTCATGCCTGTAATCCCAGCACTTTGGGAGGCCGAAGCGGGCAGATCAGGTCAAGAGGTCAAGACCATCCTGGCCAACACGGTGATCCCCTATCTCTACTAAAAATACAAAATTTGCCAGGCGTGGTGGTGTGTGCCTGTAGTCCCAGCTACTCGGGAGGCTGAGGCAGGAGAATCGCTTGAACCTGGGAGGTGGAGGTTGCAGTGAGCCAAGATGGTACAACTGCACTCCAGCCTGGTGACAGAGCAAGACTCCATCTCAAATAGGTAGGTATAAATATGGTGCAGAACTGCCCCGAGCTGCTGTCCTCTGCCGAGGGGGCAGACTCATGCTCCATTTAGGAACAGTCCTGGAGCTATAACCCTGCCCATCGAATACAGCTGTTTCTCCTACCTCCAACTTGCCTTTGAAGTCCTTCCTGGGCAAAGCCAAGAGTCTTGCAGGATAAGCCCCAATCTGGGGCTTGCCTATCGTGCGTCACTCCCACCCCCCTCCCTAAGGGTCCTGGGGGCAGAGCTGGACCTCCCTGCTGCAGAGGCCCTGTGGCCCCCCCGGACCTGGCTGCAGCTGCTCACAGCTTGACTGGCACCCGGCCAGTGAGACGCAGACCAGCGTCCCACAGAGTTATGACCACACAGACTCACAGTGGGGAGAGCACCTTTATTGTCATATATATTAACAACGCTACAGGCTGGTGGTCCCGCCCGCCTCTGACCACCCCTCCATGAAGACAGAGACCGCCTCACCCAGACCTGCCTCAAGGGCCAGAAGAAGATCCCAGGGCCCAGAAGGACTAGACCATAGCCGAACAGGAGCAGCAAGAGCGCTGGAGACAGTCACTCCTGCTGTGAAGACAGAGCGCCCCAGGGTGGTGCCAGCACCTTCAGTTCTCTGAGTTGCTGTCGTGGCTGTGTCCCGGGTCCCAGCCCAGCAAGAGAGGAGCACCAGGGCTGAGGTGATCCCAGAGACTCTGGCTCCAGAGGCCTTGAGGGCTCCAGTCAGCTGCTCTGGGCTGCCAGGGACCTGGTGCCTGCCATGGAGCCTGCCAGGCCCCCAGCTCTGGAAGGTGGGGAGGCAGAAGCATCTCTTCCCAGCAGGCCTGGGACTCTTTCCCTCTCTGCAGTTTGCAAAGGGGACACTGACCTTGCTGTGCCATACAAAAGTAGCAAACCTACAGAGTCCCCTGAGAGACGGACTTGGGGGGTGGGGCAGAGGTTGCAAGTTCCACCTCTGATAGACATGCTCATGAAATGCTGCTTCCTCTGGCTCAGGGATGGGATGGACCCAGAGAGGGCCGGTGGGCTCAGCAAGATCTGGGGGGAATTGGCGGGTGGTGCTGATCTGGTGTGGGGGGCCCTTGACCCCGAGTGCTGCTCTCTCATGGTCCTCAAGTCCTCGTGGTTGGCAGTGGCTTATTCAGGGTCTCCCGGGCCTCTGAGAGCAGCTGCAGGCCAGGCCATCCCCCAGCCAGTGGGGAAGGGGGTTGAGGAAGGGAAGCCCGAGGCCCTGCAGGACCCTGCCTGTCCCCCTGGGCTGGCTGGCCCAGCCTCCTGCAGCCCTGCCTGCCTCAGGGAACCATCCTGGCCCCGCACTTTCCCTGTCTGAGTTTTCTCATGAAGAGGGGAAGCTGGCAGGGTCAAGATAACACGGCTTCAGGAACTGAGGGGCCTGGGTTCAAATCCGGCCCCTGCCACCCGTGATCTGGTGGCCGAGGAAGGGTTATTTCTACCATCCGAGCCTCAGTCCCCTTATGAAGTGGGGATAATAAGCTTACCTCCTAAGGGTTAAATAATGAGACAACATAAGGAAAGTTCCCTGGACAGGGCCAGTTGTGGCAGGGACCCAATAAATGATAGGTATTAGGGTTATTCTCATTCCCAGCAGCCAGCCCATCCAGACCCGTCTCCAGCCGGGAGTGGGGGGGTTGGGGAGGGGACGAGGGGACAAGCCAGAGAAGGGTCAGCCCCCTGATGAGGGTGCTGCCCCCTCCAGACCCTGCCCCTGGAGGCATTATCTGTCCCCAAAGTCCCCCAGGCCCTCACAGTCATCCATGCCTGGAGCCCAGTCCCCCGGGAGTGTCTTCAGGGACCAGCAGCCGCTCAGGCCTCTGGGCTGGGTCTCTACAGGACAAGGTGTCTTGGAGCAGTGGGCTCTCACTTCCTGCTGCTGGCGCGGTCCGCGCTCTTCTGTGCAGGGTCGGGTCCAAGCAGGGCAGCAAGGACCCCGTCGGGCTGGGGGCCACCCCTCTTCATTTTGAGGTTGGCTCTCAGGGCGGCATCCTGGCCAGATCCTCCCTCTGGGGAGGCCAGGGGATCTGGAAGAAGAGAAGGAGGGTGGAGTCAAGGTAGAGCCTTAGGAACACTTGGGGGCACCTTTGATCACGGTACCTGGCTGCGGAGAGGATGCTCTTATCTAGCGTGGAGAAGCAAGGCAGCAGCAGGCTTTCAGCTCCTTATGCATTCATTCATTCATGGATCCATGCATCCATCCATTCATTCACTCATTCACCCACCCATTTGTCCATTGATCCATTCATCCATCTGTGTATCCACCCATTCATCCATCCACTCATTCATTCATCTATGCATCTATCCATTCATTCACTCATTTACCTGCCCATCCATCCATCAATCCATCCATCCATCAGTCCATCCACCCATTCATCCACCCACTCATTCATTTATCTACACATCTATTCATTCATTTACTCATTTACCTGCCTATCCATCTATGTATCCATTTATTCATCCATTCATCCATCCATTCACTCACTTATTCACCCACCTACCTGTCCACTCACCCATCCATCCATCCATCCGTCCATCCATCCATCCATCCATCCACTCATTTACCCACCCACCTGTCCACTCACCCATCCATCCATCCATCCATCCAC